ATTTTATATTATTTGCAACTATTGTGAAGGGTGTCATTTCCCTAATTTCTTTTTCAGTCTGTTTATCTTTCATGTAGAGGAAGGCTACTGATTTGTTTGAGTTGATTTTATAACCAGCCACTTTGCTGAAGTTGTTTATCAGGTTTAGGAGTTCTCTGGTGGAAGTTTGGGGGTCACTTAAGTATACTATCATATCATCTGCAAATAGCGATATTTTGACTTCTTCCTTTCCTATTTGTATCCCTTTGACTTCTTTTTGTTGTCTAATTGCTCTGGCTAAGACTTCCAGTACTATATTGAATAGGTAGGGGGAGAGTGGGCAACCTTGTCTAGTCCCTGATCTTAGTGGGATTGCTTCAAGTTTCTCTCCATTTAGCTTGATGTTGGCTACTGGTTTGCTGTAAATTGCTTTTACTATGTTTAGGTAGGGGCCTTGAATTCCTGATCTTTCCAAGACGTTTATCATGAAGGGATGTTGAATTTTGTCAAATGCTTTCTCAGCATCTAGTGAGATGATCATGTGGTTTTTTTCTTTAAGTTTGTTTATATAGTGGATTACATTGATGGATTTCCGAATATTGAACCATCCCTGCATTCCTGGGATAAAACCTACTTGATCATGATGGATGATTGTTTTGATGTGGTCTTGGATTCGGTTTGCTAGAATTTTATTGAGTATTTTTGCATCGATGTTCATAAGGGAGATTGGTCTGAAGTTCTCTTTCTTTGTCGGGTCCTTGTGGGGTTTGGGTATGAGTGTAATTGTAGCTTCATAGAACGAATTGGGTAGTGTTCCTTCTGTCTATTTTGTGGAATAGTTTGAAGAGAATTGGTATTAGGTCTTCCTTGAAGGTCTGATAGAATTCAGCACTAAAACCATCTGGTCCTGGGCTTTTTTTAGTGGGGAGGCTTTTGATGACTGCCCAGGATAGCGAAAACTATTCTCAACAATAAAAGAACTTCTGGAGGAATCACCATCCCTGACCTCAAGCTGTACTACAGAGCAATAGTGATAAAAACTACCTGGTATTGGTACAGAGACAGGCAGGAAGATCAATGGAATAGAATTGAAGACCTAGAAATGAACCCACACACTTATGGTCACTTGATCTTTGACAAAGGAGCTAAAACTGTCCAGTGGAAAAAGGACAGCATTTTCAACAAATGGTGCTGGTTCAACTGGAAGACAACATGTAGAAGAATGAAAATTGATCCATTCTTATCCCCTTGAACAAAGCTCAAGTCTAAGTGGATAAAGGACCTATACATAAAACCAGATACACTGAAACTAATAGAAGAGAAGGTGGGGAAAAGCCTCGAATACTTGGGCACAGGGGAAAAGTTCCTGAACAGAACTCCAATGGCATATGCTCTAAGATCGAGAATTGACAAATGGGACTTCATAAAATTGCAAAGTTTCTGTAAGGCAAAGGACACTGTCAATAGGACAAAATGACAACCAACAAATTGGGAAAAGATCTTTACCAATCCTTCATCTGATAGAGGGTGGGAATTTTGAGGCTGGGGAGGTGGGAGTGGGGGGGGTAGATAGAGGTTACATCCACAGAGAAGAAGGAGGAGGGGCGAGGGGATTGGGGGTTCCGAGGGGGTGGGGATGGGGTAAGGGGACAACATAGGAAATGTAAATAAATAAATCATCCAAAAAAAAAAAAGAACCACAAATATATATCAGAAAAAAAATAGGGAACATGGGATCTATAGATAGATAGACCTCAGCATATCTTTAATACTTCTAGTCTCAACAAGGGTACTGGAAATATGTAATACACTGAAGAAAGAATACCACATACAGAAGTAAAATTAGAAAAATTAGAGAAACCCATGGAGAAACTAGAAACTAGATCTGTATTTCCTAACCTGCTTACAAATAAACTCAAAATATTTTAAAGATATGATGGTTTGAGTAGGAATGCCCCCATAGACTCATGTGTATCAATGTTTAGGCCATAGGTAGTAGCACAATTAGGAGGTGTGGCTTCATTGGAGTAGGCGTGTCCTTGTTGGAGGAAGAATGTTACTGTAGAGGTAGGCTTTGAGGTCTCCCTATTCTCAATATAGGCCTAATATGGCACTCTCATGCTGCCTTTGGATCAAGATGTAGAACTCTTAGCTCCTTCTCCACTACCATGTCAGTTTTCTTTCTGCCATGATGACAAAGAACTATACCTCTGAAACTATAAGCCAGCCACAGTTAAATGTTTTTCTTTATATGAGTTATCATAATCATGGTGTCTCTTCATAGCAATAGAATCACTAAGACAAAGGTTATTATCGTAAGATTTGAAACTAACAACCCCAGAAGAAAGCACAGATATTTGCTGCATGATCCCAGCACAGGCAATAAGTTTTGAAGTACAACTCTAATCTTAACAGAATAAAAGTTATTTAATGCCAAACAAAATTCTGTCAAATAAAAACATTATTACATAAGAATATGTTCCTAAGAGTGAAAAAGACAACCTACAGCATAGAAGAATATTTGCCAGCTATTCTTTTGCTAGATAACCAATATTCAGATGAGATCAAGAGTTCAAAATAATATAAATAATCTAAGAAAACGGTACAAATGCATAAATGATTTTAATAAATACTTCTCAAAAAAGAGGAAGAAACACAAATGGTCCATAAATATAAGAAAAATAATACTCCAGAGTCTTAGCCATCTGGGAAATGACAATCAGTATTGTATTAAAAGTCCATTTTGTACCAGTGAAAATGAAAATTATCCAAGGAAACAAAAACAAAAACAATACATCCTAGCAAAGTTGTAGAGCAAAGGGCATCCATGCAGATTGGGTAGGAATTAAATATATTTCAGAAAACTGAGTACCAAATCCTCAGCATCTAAAACCACAACCTCCACGTATTTAGACATACCCTACCACCTGAGTCCATCTACAAAGCAAATAAAATCAACGTGTGAAAGTGATACCTGACTGCTCATGTTGACTCTGGGTAGGTTTTATTTACAATCATTAAGTGATGGCTCTGCCTACATGCACATCTACAGAAGATGGGTGTGCGTGATAGTTTTATGTCAACTTGACACAAGCTAAAGTCATCTGTAAAGAGAGAACCTCGACTGAAAAATACTTCCATAACAAGAGCCAGCAAGACATTTTTTTTAAATTGGTGATTGATGGGAGAGAGCCCAGTAAGTTGTGGGTGAGAACAACTCTAAGTCAGTGGTCTTGGGTTTTGGAACAAAGCGTCTTGAACAAGCCAGGGAGAGTAAGCCAGTAAGCAGCTTACTTAATCCACTCCATGGCCTCTACACCAGCTCCTGCCTCCATGTTCCAGCCTTACTTGAGTTCCTGTCCTGTCTTTCTTCAGTAATGGACTGTGATGTGGAAGTGTAAGCCAAATAAACCCCTTCCTCTCAAACTTGCTTTGGGTGATGGTATTTCATCATATGAATAGTATCCATAACTAGGAAAATGGGTGAAAAAAAGTCTATATGTATACTTATACATCAGAGTTTTTTTTTTTTACTCCAAAGGATGAAATCCTGCCATATGCATGGAAATGAATGAAAATGGAGATTATCATACCTAGTGAAACATGACAGAGTCAGAGACAAACAGTACTTATATTCTGATACATGCAGAAACTGAAATAACAACAAAAGGCCTTGAAAGTGTAAGAGGGTCTATTGGGGCCATGGAAATGGACCAGAAACAGAGGAAGCAAAAGGAAAGAAGGAAGAAGAACCATAAGTTGACATGAAAAACACATTGATGGGAATGCCACAACAAATCTCATTAATAATAAGTTAAAAAAGAAAAAAGGTAAACTACAGTATCAACTAAAGTGGACCTTTCATAGCTCCCAGAGACTAAGCCACCAACCAAAGAGCATACATGGTCCGTGGCCCCTGGCACATATGTAGCCTTATCTGGCCTCAGTTGGAGAGGATGCACCTAATCCTGTAGAGACTTGATGTTCCAGGGATGAGGGATGCTGGTGGGGTGTGAGATGGGAGTTGTTGCATGAGGGGAGGTTGGCGGGTGGATGGGTAAAGGAGATGGGTAGGTGGGGGAGAACCCTCAGAGGCAAAGGGGAGTGGAGGTGGGGTGAATAACTCTGGGAGGGGGAACAGGGAAAGGGGGCAACATTTGGAATATAAATAAATAAAATAATTTAATAAAAATTTTTAAAAAGAAAGAAAAATGGTTGTTCTTTCTTTATATGACATTGTAGAAAGGGCAAGTGTATAGCAATTAAACCAAATTGTGGGTTCCATAGGGTGTTAAGGAAAAGAGACAAGTGGATGATAACAAATATAATTACGAAGAGAAACTTTGAGGCTGATGGAATTCTCTACACATATGTTATTTATGGAGCTTGTTATACCATAGCTGACATTTGTGAGCCTCTTACAAGGGGAGTTCTAAATGGGTAAAAATTATCAGTTGTAAGCAATATCTTACTAAATCTGACTTTCAAGTAGTATAAATCTATCAACATTACAAATTCTAGATCAATGTAAAGAGATCTTCAACAATTGGCAGATTTTGATGAGAAAGAGGAATATCTTTTGTTTCAGGAGATACTTTTGCAATTGCCTATTTTCAGTTTATTAATAACATTTTCTTGTGATTTGCTTTATAAACAAAAATTATAGATTTGTAAAAAAAAGTCACATCAAGCAAGCTGTCCGCTTTGTTAATTAAATTACAAGTTCATTAAAATAGTTTCAATACACAGTGGTGCTTAGTTAAGTATAAGATTCTCTAATGAGTTCAGTGGTATCATAATCACCCTTCCTTAGGTTACACACTATTATTTCCCTGCTTGCAGTTATGGAGTTACTATATTTTATCTCTTGTGGTCTAGTAAGCAATTTGATAATTTAGGAAGGTAATGGAGATTAAATCCACTGCTTGAAACCCTCACATAATGTAACTATAATTCACATGCATATTATAACTTAGAGCAGAGATAACACCTGGAAATGTGATATGCCAGCATTGCCTTACCTTTGTGTTGGTGTCACATAGCTATTATCATAAGCCTCATAGGTCTGGTCATCATATTCACCACCATAGCCATCATCATACCCCTGAAATATAAAGAAATACAGTATTTTAAACTAATCAGTCTGCTTTGATATATTTATATTTTCTAAGAATTTATGACCCATACAGTTGGAATAATTTTCATGCTTGATTATATTTGAATATATTTACAGTTTCTACATAACCTTAAAGTAACTAGTTTTTCCCCTTTTTGTGACTTTGTGGGCCTTTTTTTTAAAGAGAATGAAAGAATATAAAGTTGGGTGGGTAAGGAGGTCATGTACCTGGGAGTAGTTGGAAGAGAAAGATGATGAGAAAAACAGATTTGCATATACATATAATATATAACTTATAAAATATGAAATATATATAGAAAATATTTAATACTTAACTAAACTCTCAGTCGATCAGTGACAGAAATGCCTATTGTAAGGTGCATTTATAGTTTTGATATATAATAAAGATCAGTTAAGAAATTAAATATAATTCTTCCTTTTTAGAGTATCATGTTTAGCTCTTCTGGCAGAGGACTCTATGCTCAGGTCCCAACATCTGCACTAGGTATAAAACCAGTTCCAAGGGCTCTGGCATCCTCTTCTGGCCTCAGTGGTACCTGCACTTATGTGCACATAGCACATACACACTCATACACACAGAGAAATAGATAGCACACATAGGCAAAATTACAAATGAATTACAACAAAAATAAATTATAGGTATCTAAGAACACTAACCTAATAGTGGTGTAAAGTATTGGTGGCAATCCTACTCAAAGTATTGTTTCCTCCTTAATATTAATCATTAATAGTAAGACAGAAAATTTAAAGTATAGAATCCATAAATTGTGATTGAGGTTTCAGGTTGGGAATGTAGAGTCATTATTGAAAAGGTAAGTAAATAAGTGAATGAATTATGAATAAAAGGAGAGAGAAAAGGGAGAGTGTGATTAAAGAACTCTTAGTTTGTTATAAACTTTTATTGTTTTTAAATCTCGGTAGTAATGTGGTGTGCCAAGTTTGATGAAACCACGCTGATAGAATGCCTGGAGATTTTTCATTCTGGAGCATGCAAGCAGGCTAGCAATTATATGTTGTAGCTATCAATCACTCTGCAAGAGAGAAAGAGAGAGATTTAGTTTTATGTCCCTTGTGGTCATTGACTTTAAACTCTATCCATTCATCCCAACTACTCCTTGGCTCTGCCTCCAGATCTTCACTGTAGCAATTTTCTCTCTGAAACATTCTTGCATCCTACCCTACCAGTTCATGCCTTTACTTTCCTCCGGGGGGACTTACAAATCTCTTACATCTTGCACCAGAAACTAAAAAATCAAAATTGCAACTTGTAAAATTTTTCACAGTCATTTTGAATATTTTTTTAATTTTATTAATCAGAACGCTAGTATTTTATCACTGAAGAGTTTATTTTTAATGTTCAAAAATCTGTTTCCTTACTTCTGTCATTTTTCTTTGTTTGACGCTATTACTTATATATTGCATATTCTGAGTCTCAATTTTGTGTCGTTAATTGTCTCATTTATTTTTTCTGTCACCGTAGTTTTGTGTGAAATATGAAAGACTTCCTCCGTCTAATTTAAATATCTTTGTTTCTTTTTAAAGTGAAATATTCCCGAAGTTATCTTCAGAGTAGGATTCATGAAATAAAATGTGCAATTAAGATCATTTATGGTTAAAAAAAAGGATTCACACATGGATTATTCAAAAGCACCAAAGGCTTTGTGTCAACAGGGTGGGAATTGTTTCTTCGTTTTTGTTTTTGTTTTGTTTTTCCAATGAGCAATGCTCTTTCAGTCCTTCCTGATATCATTCATTTCTCTCTGGTTCACCTAGATGCACTACTAGGTCGGAAGGTGGGTTAATTTTCCTGATTTCTTTGTGTAGTCCATAGTAATTCCTACTGTGAGGATACATGATTCTCTTTCTCTCTCCAATTTCTTTAATAGTCCATCTACTCACTACCTCTTTTGTTTAGGGACAGAAGATGAAATATTTAAATTGTACAAAGACGATAAACCGATAACAGATAAAAGAAACTCACTTATCCTTTACCTGCTGATTTGCAAAGTGCTGTCATCTTGCCTGTTTGTATTATATGTTCTATAGATTATATGGTATTACATATTATATACATACATATTTTTAAGTTATTTATAACTCAATTCTTGAAACATAGATAAGCTGTAGTATCAATAATAATCATGATCTAATAGTAGTCTTACCTGATTTTGTGATCAAAGACATAGTTTCCTGCTTTTAAGTAGTAAATATTATTTAGAAAAAGTTAAAATTTAAAGACATATTTTTACCATTTTCAATATCATTCATATAGTTTCTGACATACAACAAAATACATTACTTCATGGAATTCTTGAAGTTATTATATTGATGATTAAGGTCAGTGTAGTAGTTTGAATGAGAGTGTCGCCTCCCCCCACAACCAGGATAATAGATTTGAATGTTTAGTCACCAGAAAGGGACACCATTTGAAAGGCTAAGGAGGTGGGCCTTTTGGAAGAAATTCATCACTGGCGGTGGGTTTTGGAGTTTCAAAAGCCTAAGGTAGGCCCAGTATCTCTCTCATACTGCTGCCTGTGGATCTGGATGTATAACCCTGAGTTATTTCTCCAGCACCATGTCTGTTTGCATGCTGTCATGAAACACACTGTCATGATAATGGACTAAACTTCTGAAATTGTAAGCCAGGTGTAATTAAATGTAGCTATTTATAAAAATTTCCATGGTCACGGTGTGTCTCTTCACAGCAATGGAACACTAAGATAGGCAGGGAGACATGTTCTTTTGTATGCTCACAAAAAGTTAAAAACGACACAAAGGAAAATGAGTTTGGGGAAATCATTTTGAAATCAAAATTTGTAAGCTCTGATTTAATGTTTTCATTTTAACTACTACATATTGATGTTGACATTTTCTGTTGTGGTTATATGAGAAAGATTTATTTTCTTCCCCATTTTGAATGCTTTTCTGATTGTTGGTGGCCTTGCTTTTTGTCATTGTCTTTTATTAAGTTTTAGTTAACATGTATTAGCTTTTCTATATAACTGATTTCTAGTGTCATAATTCTACAGATGCCCTCAACACACACTGCTCAAAGACATCCCCCCCTGTATTTACCTTCCCCAATCCTGCCTGTGAATCATAAATCACAGGCACACATCCAGGTGGAATGTTTTACTTCAATAGATGAGATTCTGTGCAGTACTTGTTTCTCTGTGCTGGCTTATTTGAGTTAATATCTTCCAGTTACCCACTTTACTGCAAATGACAAGATGGCATTCTTATGAATAGTTGCTGAATGGTAGTCCATACATGGGACTCTAGATTTTCATTGTGACTTGCTCTTGTAGATTTCTCTTCCATTGTGTTGGGTACACAGGTAGTTCTTTTAAACTAGATACTTACACTCTTTAAGATTAAGACCTCTTAATGAGGTTGGCATTGTAGATTAGAAATGTAATGTATCTTTTTATCCTACATGATTCTTCTTATTTTATTTTTACTTGATGAGGAATTCTTCATATTCAATATGTATAAGGGACATTTCACTTTGGTTTATACACATGTGTTACGAATGGGGTACGGAGAGGACCCTCACATTGTGTCTACAGTTTAAGCAGCTATTATCAACACTGGAATCGTATTTCCTCTTTGGTGAACAACAGTTCCCAGTCTAGATGGATCTTCTGAGAGCTGTCATAGATAGTGAAAGCCTGAACATTATTCATAGAATTTACCACAATGGATAACTAGAAGACAGATTTGCACTACAACAGGTCTCAAAATCTTTGAATATCTAGTATCTGTGTTTTTGACCTTCATCAAATTTTACAGAAACCATGTGGTTGCAACCCTTTTTCCTTCTAACAGCAGATCTTTATACTCTAGCTTTGAATAGAAAGCAGGGGTTGAGAAGAATTCTGATATTATTATCTTGAATTAAAACTTTATCTTATGGAAGCAGCTAGCTGAGGCAGAGGTTAGTGTAGGTTCCTGTTTCCATGGCCCTGATACCCTTCCCTGTTTCTTCTATCACTATCTGTTGAAATTCTGATGATTCTTCAAAGACAAATTATATGATACATCTTAAGGAAATACTTTTTGCAGTTACAAAGCGCACAGTGACCTCTGAGTGGTGATGATAACCTGTTATTTGCTCTAACTGATACCTATAGTCTCTCTCTCTCTCTCTCTCTCTCTCTCTCTCTCTCTCTCTCTCTCTCTCTCTCTAT